GATTTTTTTTTACGGTCAATTTTAATCAGAGAAATAAGAAGCGTCACGACATAACCAACATAGTTCGTTACATAACCAACATAGTTCGATTGCGACCAGCATGTATCCAGACCAGCCTGCGCATCCGCGCAGTCTGAAAAGGATCCATGCTGGTCGCTTACAAACACTATAACAAGTAGAGAAACTGATAGCAAACAGCATGGATCCTGATCAGACTGCGCGGATGCGCAGGCTGGTCTGGTTGAATGCTGGTCGCAAACGCACTATGTTGGTTTTGCCATGACTCGGTTCAAATTCATTCACATTATAATTGTAAAGCAACTTATTTGTGTTGTCTCTCTTATGTTAAAAATATTATTAACTTTTTTTCGTAAATAAAGAACAAATCTGATTTCATACATTTACTTTCTCTAACAAAAAAAAACAAACAAAAAACAAACTATTAGTATTCAATATTTCAAACATTTTTAAAAACCCGTCTAATATAATAATAATAGTAAATCCTAATTTAGGAAAATGCCTTGATAAGCATTTTTATATCATTTCAGAGCTGATCCTTTTTTTCAGCATTGTATTGTGTTATTCATGGTGATATGTAAAATGATTGTGCAAAATGTTTGAAATAAACTATTGTTTAAACTTTTAAAACAACTTCCTCCTTTTTATTTGCTATTGAATTGTAATTGCATCATGTGCTTAATTCGCTTGTTTCAAACATGAATTGTAACAAAATACATTTGAATGTCAAAACTACTATGCATTTATCAAAAACAATAAATGATTACACGAAAAGAATACACCGCATTTATACATTAACTTATAATAAATGATAAGTTAGATAAATCATTTTACCACGCGTTCCATTTTTATCAAATAGAACCGTTAAATATGGTTATAAAAATACAAACTTTTTAAGGAAGTAAATTGTATACTTAATCGCATGACTCATCTGGTCTCACTTAATAAACTGTTAATAAATCTGTTAGTTTCGCATCAAAAATCGTGAGTGTACTTAATCGTCACTTAGTTGTATAATACTTTTATGTTATTAAAACGATTTTCATGATTGTTAAGATTTAAAAAAAAAAATGGCGTAAAATCAAGTGTATTATTATACTTTAGATCAAGTAGGTTTCGATTAACACGATGAATTTTCAAGCGCCTTGCGTGACATACTTTGATAACAGAATTTAACCAACGAATTCATAAATTAGACTGTTTATGAAATGATGAACACTAGTTCTTATCCCTTAAATTACATTAGATTTACACCGTATTTCGAGTAAACGCCTATATAGTTTTCATGCTCATCAAACCAATTTTTCAAAGCAATATTATTACAGATTGAGATTATTTGAATTATTTTAAATTCAAATTGAGGAAGTAGATTACAGTGAGTGTCTCGTTTCATAAATGGATATTAATGAGTGTGTTTTCATAGAATTATCATGGATGCATGCAGATCAAATTTAAATCAAAGCTAATTTTAGCATAATCTATGGTGGCTGATTTGAGCCATTCGTGTTTTCGTCCCGTGATGAGTCGAGAATTAACAAGTTAAAATGGCGGGGGGTGCGGAGCGAAAACACGCTTATTAGCGGAAACCCGTGGCGAAGATTAATCAATAAAACGTTCCCTCGCGGGGTCGCGGAGTGAGATTAAAGAAATGAAACAGCAGGGAGCGGAGCAAAAATACGCTAACTAGCGAGGGCGCGGGACGAAGTTTAAAAAAAATACAACTTCGCCCCTCCCCCGCGCTAATAAGCGTGTTTTCACCGCACAACCCCGCCAAGCGTAAAGTCGATAATTAACAGGTTTAAATGGCGGGGCGCGGAGCGATAACACTCTAATTAGCGGGAGTGCTAATTAGCGTGTTTTCATTCCGCGCCCCCGCCGTTTTATTTCTAAAATCAAGTCCCGCGACCCCGCGGGGCGAAGTTTTATTTATTAAACTTCGCCCGCGCCCTCGCTAATAAGCGTGTTTTCGTCCCGCGACCCCGCCGTTTTCACTTGTTGATTCTTTACTTTTAGCTTGGCGGGGTTGCGGGGCGAAAACACGAATGGCACAAATCAGCCACCATAAGTTTCATAGAATTATCATGGATGCATGCAGATCAAATTTTGTACAAAACATTTTAGCATAATCTATGGTGGCGCGGAGCGAAAACATGCTAATTACCGGGGGCGCGGGACGGAGTTTGATAAATAAAATTTGCATCGCCCCGCTAATGAACGATTTTACGCCCTGCGACCCCACCAAGCGAAGAAAAGTCGAGAATTAACAAGTTAAAATGGCGGAGACGCAGAGCTCAAGCTCGCTAATTAGCAATGCACGGGGCAAAGTTTAATAAATAATACGTCTCCCCTCGGGGCGCGGAGGGAGATTTAAAAAATAAAACGGCGGGAAGCGGAGCCAAAATACGCTAATTTGCGGGGGCGCGGAGCGAAGGTTAATACATGAACCTTCGCCGCGCGCCTGGCTATTTAGCGTGTTTTCACTCCGCGACCCCACCAAGCAAAAAGTCGGGGGACTAACAAATAAAAAGCTTGGGCGCGGAGCGAAAACACGCTAATTAGCTGGAGCTTATTAGAGTGTTTTCGCTTTGCGCCACCTCCAATTTATTTCCTAAATCTCGCTCCGCGCCTCCTCAGGGCGAACTGTTTTAAACTTTGCCCCGCGCACTGCAAATCATCGTGTTTTTGCTCAGGGTTCCCACCATTTTAACTTTTTAATTTTCGACTTTCGCTTGGGATGTTCGTGGGGCAAAAACATGAATGGTACAAATATGCCACGATAATAATACACAACAGTGCAAGCATGTATTTATTTTTTTTTTTTTCTAACACGCTTATATATAAAGGCTGATTTAATAGAATTTCGTGCGCCGTGTTGTCGCAAGCGACAGCACTAAAAAGCGCCAAACGGCCTGTTGTCTCAATGTCGTTTTGTCGCCTTCTCGCTTACAACGCGCCATTTGACGTGCTTTGCAAGTGACAAGACGACAGTGCGACAACGCGCCGTTTGGCGCTTTCGCTAGCGACAAGACGAAAAGGCGATAACGATATAGGTTGTGTTGTCGCTTTCAACAACGCAATTCGCTTAAGTGTACCAAATCAGCCACCATAGTGTCATTTGTTTTGTGATTACCTATAGTGAAGCGAATGGAAATTAAGCGAAATATGAAGGCTGATTTGGAGCGCTCCGATTCTAAACAAAGTATTGGTTAATTTATTTTCTGTAGGGGTAACAATCCTTCCGAGCAAAAGTCAACCTTTTATATTTCATGAAACGAAGATGCAGGAAGTGAAAAGCAATATCAAGGTAGCCTGCTTGAAAACGTTGAAATTGAATTAGAACATATTTATGCTACAATACAACAACTCAAAAATAAGCCTCCAGACGTGATCGAGCATCAACTGCATATATTGATGACTGACACAGAAAAGAAGTTAAGTCTTGTCAACAAGGTAATTATAATGTATCAAATTCTCGTTGCATTTGTATGTCAGAAATAGAAATAGCTCAACCATTAATCTTCTTGTGACTACCGTTTCTACCAATTGTACCAGTGAAAACAAAGATCAGCCGTTACATCTGCGCTGTCTGATCAATGTTTTAAGTATTTGTTATTCAGTCAATACATATGTATAACCTGTTCTAAAATTGATAAATGATTGTGTCCATATCAAAAAATGGGCAGGTCCTTCTAGGACATTTAGCGCGGTAAGAAGAAAAAGGGACATTTAAAAGATGTCTCGTAAATACAAGGTTATGCCTGCTTTAATAGCATGTATTGCCCCTATTTCAGCTCAGTATAATATTTTCTCTTATCACCCGTGACTATTGATAGCCACACATTTAGTTAAGGATGGAATACTGTTAGAACGTGTGCTACATGTAACTAGTAAAGACATTACATTTTATTTCCTCTCAACAGAAGAAATCAGATTGAGTCTTCATTCCCATTTTCATTTGTATCTTACTGCTACCTAGGGATGTTACCCTTTTCACAAAAAGTGTGATAATTTTGAATATAAAAACACTGTCTAACATTCCTTATTCAAGAATCATTTTTATATATAATTTGCGTGAAATACTCGGTACATATTACGTCCTAATGTAATGTCTACCGTTGCTCTTTCTTAATGTTTATGACAATATAGTGGAGACAGTTCTGAAATGAAATAGCATAATGATTTGTACATCACAGTTTAGTCTTTTGTTTTTTGTTTGTTTGTTTTGGGTTTTACGTCACATCGACACAGTATTGGTCATATCCCGACGTTCCAGCTTTACTGATGGAGGAAGACCTCAGGTGCCCTTCCGTGCATTATTTCAGGCACGAACGGGCACCTGAGTAGAACCACCGACGTTCCGTAAGCTAGCTGGATAGCTTCCTCACATGAAAGAATCCAAAGTCCCTTTCGGGATTCGAACCCACAGCGGTGAGGGGCAAGTGGTTTGAAGTCAAGGACCTTAACCACTCGGCCACGGACGCCCCATCACAGTTTTGTCAAACCGCGAACTTTTTAATAACTATTGTTACTTGTTCATCATTTAATGTGTCGCATGTTCTTGTCATTACTTGCTGGTTTATTTTAGAAAACGAAATGGCATATAAGAAATCCATTTAAAAGTAAGGATGTTGTTTCTTCTGGAAACGATTGGCAACTAAAGCAAGAAAATGATCAACTAAAGCAGGAAATAGAGGACCTCAGGAAGCTACGCGTTGACGATATTTATCAACTTGAAAGGGAAGAAATAAAAAACATGGAGCTTCTTCTACGGTAATTCGAAACCTTAACCATCGGCCTGCTTGCGGCAACAATATCTCTCAAAAAAGAATTGATACGATCATTAGCAAACCTAGATCAGGCGGCAAATCCGTGTTATCTGATCATGGTCTATACTATTTGCTATTCAGTCAGTTCATATCTTAGACTTTGCACTAAAATGATAATAGATTCATACAGATTGAAAGATAGACGAGTGCATTTTAGATATTTATCATGAACTGTTATGTATCATTTAATCATGAAAACGCTTTTAAATGTTAATAATCTTTCAATCAAATTTGAATTTTGTTAAAAAAATACACAATGATGTAAATAGGTTTATCGTCGAACTTTGTCAGAATAATGTATCGGAGAAGAAGTGTTGTGATGTGACATTTTATATCATGTATTTATCCCAGATTACAAAATGTCTTTCAAAATTTCCAAAATCCTATTTCATTGCTAATTCATGCATGTAAATATACAAGCAAAACACAACACGTTTTCCGATCAATGAATAACACAAGGGTTGAGTTCAAGTTCTTATAATATTAGTGATCGACCCTCCGCAAAAATGTTTATCTATGTAATAATAAAATAAACATACGACACATTGATTTATCAAGTTTCTTTTCTTTGCTGACAAGGATATAATTTCTAAAAGATCACAACAGAAAGATATATGTAATTATTTAATAAACACAATATGCGTTAGATTTGATATATATTCTGTATCTATGCGTCAGGCTTAGTAAGTTAGAAGGCGAGAAATTAACAAAAGACGACCCAGCAATAACAGATCTATCTGACACGAATCATCCAACTAAAGTTGGTGAAGTGTACAGAGAACTCCACGACAACGAATGGACAGATGCACTTCAAGGTCTTACAGGGGCAGGACATGATGATGAGGAGGCAACAGCAACACTTTACCTGACGCTACTTGTAAGAAAAATTATCATTTTTATCAATCATGTGCTAGATTTGGATTTTAAGGATTTCCATTAAAAAGTCGGTGACCGTTACATATTTTACTTTGGTAGTTGCATTATTTAAATAAATAATTTAAGAACGTCAAAATCAAGAAATAAATGACACCCAGATTTCTTTAGATGTCTAGCTAATTGATCATTTGATAAGAAAATAAACATCAAATATCCCGTTAACTATTTGACACAAATGTCTGTCTTTGTGTGTCTTTTAATAAGCTGATTCCAAACGGACTTGTAATAGGGCACAATTATAAAGGAAGAAATGGCGTTTTTTTCAATTATTTTTTTGATTTGTATACATGCAAACACCAATCTTTCAGAACATATATGACTTTTGCAAGAAAAAGGCTGGAACTCTACTAGATAAAATTGATGACACCGTCAACTATCTGTTTGAAGAGTATAAACGTTTACAAGAACATCCAGATGCAGTGAAGTATTTTATTTGTCATACATAATATTGCCCAATATTTTTCTTCAAAGGCCAAATGCCTGAGTGGTTAATTCATATGCATTATGACAACACTTAAGATAACTTAGAATGGTTGACTGTCAGATTTATTTCGCTAGATTTGATCCATGTCTTGTGCTATTCTTGTAATATATGTCACTTTTTTTTCCTTTTTATTTTTTGTCTGTTTTTGTTTTGTTGTTGTTGTTTCCATTTGTTTGCAAAGTAGTGGCAAATGTACCTTTTCCTCAGCAGTAGAATTCGTACAACGATTGAAAGCTTAGAAATTCTTTCCCAAACATTAACTGAAATGAAGCCAATCCGAGCAATCAGCATAGAACAGAAGTGTGTTTGTTCCGCTTAAAAAATATGATAATTATATTCTACAATTATGTTTTCATTTTTATGATGTTTGCATTCTAGAACGAGACGAGCGTGACAACAATGCCAATGAAGCGGGTAAAAATTTTCTATAATAGTTTCCATTATATACATTTCATTCATCATTTATCATATGTGTTTCTTAAAACAGTGTTTTAAAGTATGAAAGAATGAAGGTAAAGAAATTCATTTTAAGTTTCAATTGAATGTATTGAAATAGTTTCCCGTCATGTAAAGAAACTATTATGTATTTGTAATGTGATATATTATTTAAATTCATTTTCACAGAGGTCTTAAATACCTTATCATCATCATATTATAGGTTTCTAACATTCGAAATTCAGAAATTAGTGAAGACAGCATTAACGAAAACTTCGAACTAAATGAAAGGTGGAGATATAAAACTGGTCATGAATCTTATACAAAAAGCTTTAGAGCATCATTAGCGGTAAATAAAACAATAATGCTATTTCTGAAACTGCATAAAGGATAATAATAATGATAATAATAACGATTATGATGATGATGATTAAGATAATGATCATAATAATGATGGTGGCGGTGGTGGTGGTGGAGGTGGTGTTGATGCTGATGATGATGACGATGATGATGATGATGATGAAGATGATAATGATAATGGTTATGATTATATAAAAATCACAATTGATAAAGCTTTCAGTGAAGTACATTATTTGGAAAATGTTTTTATATAATAATTATTATGACAATAATACATTTAGAATATATGTGATGATTTAGATGTATGATTGAAGAAAGCATTGTATTTGAATGACATCATCATTAAAATCATTTTCTAATATTTCGTAAAAAAAACATAATGCTCATTCATCCGTCAATGGAAATTAGTGTAGTTTGTCTTTCATAAAAATATTAAATTGTTTTTTGTTTAGGTTATATTATGAATGTGATATCTTTAATTATAGTTCCAAGGCTCCGAGACCATACTGGATAAATTAAAAGTTTTTCAGAAGGAAGTTGCCGAAACCATGGTTCCCGTAGTTCAAAAGGTATTTATCTGAAATATAATATTTTTCACAGTGACTCGATTTATTTTAAATTACACACATTATGTGTTTAAAATAATTCCCATATTATTTCTTTCACAGGCCTACATAAAAGCAAGCTGGACGGAAGATGACTTTGTACCTGCTTTGAAGCCATTTATTAGAAAATGTATATATGTTTGTTGGATGATGTTGGTCCAGTCACTACCTATGTGTATACATGTTATTGACGTAAACGAACAGGACACATTTGACAAGAATCTATACAAGGAGTATACAAACAGTGGACCATATATTAAATATATTGTTTGGCCAGCAATGCTGTTACACGAAAACGGTCCTGTTGTCTGCAAAGGTATTGCGCAAGGTTGCGATTCAGATTCCAAGCCAAATAATGAAAATGTATCGACATGTTGAATGCTGCAAGATCTTGCATGGAAAAGAAATGACTTTAAAGTTTGAAATTGTTTTATGTTTTAAAGGAATGACAATTGTGGTAAAACCTTAGAATAAGTGATTGTATAGAGGAAAAAAAAAACAATACATAAAAAATAGAAAATACAAGAACGATAATAGAAAATACAAGAAGGGTATGAAACCATATCCTATGTCAAATAGGAAATACGATAATAGAATGTTCATGTAAAAAAAGATAATTTTCCAAAGAATAATGCTTTATAATATTGTGTCGTATTGTTTATTTTTAGCATATAATAGCAACTTAAGTATCCATATGGCAATAAGTTTACACAATATTGTATTATTGTGTTGTTGTTTTTTCCTACTGAATACTTCAGTACTTTTCCCTTTGAGCTCAAATGATATATTGAATAAAATTTTAAAATCAAATTCATCATTGAAATATATCATATTATATGTGCCGTAGAACATAATGTTTTTTTTGTTTTTTGTTTTTTTTTTGTTTTGTTATTTTGACGAAATCACTAAGGTAAAGTATATTTATGTAATTTCTATTGTGGTTTAGCAATTTGAGAGTCAGAACAGAAAACTGTGTATCATTAAAGCAGTGGAATGCTGGTTGGGCTCTTTTGATGCATGCAAGAACTCATGTTGAATAATAAAATATATGTATAATGAAAAATAAAGAGAAAGATCAGTATCAGAAAGAAAGAAATAAAGACTCAATCTTATTTCTTCTGTTGAGAAGGAAAAATAATAGCGAAGTTCAACTACGACGGGAAGTCAGAAAATATCCGGACTTTTGACTCGTTCTCGAAAACCATTCAACATTTAAAAAAAATCTTTCTATTCTTTTTTCAAAATATTATCCACCTGCGTCTACGCACTTTTGCCATCTTCGTGGGAGCTTTTGTATTCCCGCTGTGAACCATGACGTAGACCTATGTTTTAGGTACTGTGTAACAGCAGATATCAAAGCCGCCGTGGTCTTATATTTCTTTCCAGCAAGCAATTTTTTCAGTTCTGGAAACAAATAAAAGTCACAGGGGGCGAGGTCTGGGCTATAAGGAGGGTGAGACAACGATGGCCATTTGTAAGAGTTGATAACTTCCACTGTGGCTGCGGCGGTATGGGAGGGGGCGTTATCGTGAAGAAGGAGGACATTTTTCTGTGCTAACCTGGGACGCATTTGCTTCAGCTTTTCTCTGAGATTTTTCAGAATTACTTCAGAATAGTACTTAGCGCGGTTTGACCCTTTGGCATGAAATGAGTAAGTATCATTCCTCGTGAATCCCAAAAGGCAACAAGCATGACTTTGTCAGCCGAAGGAGACAGCTTAAACTTTTTAGGAGGTGGGGAACCAGCTCTTTTCTACTGTTTGACTGAGCTTTTGTCACAAGTTCGGAATAATGGACCAACATCTCACCTCCAGTGATAATGCGGTTCAAAAACTTATCTCCTTCACGATTAAAACGACTTAAATGTTCTTTTGCATACTCTGGTTACCTTTTGATCTGCGGACAGCTGTCTAGGCACCTACCTGGCACTTACCTTGCTCATGCCTGGGTGTTCGTGTAAAATTTTGTGTGCCGATGCCTACCGATGCTAAACTTGTTGGCTACTAGTATCTCCTCCAAAGTTACTCGACGATTTTTGTTGACAAAAGCTTTTACATTTGCTACCATTGTTGGGGTCACCGCCTCAGCTGGCCGCCCAGTCCTAGGCCTGTCACAAACACTTGTTCTGCCTTCACGAAACTGAGAAACCCAGTTGGAAAAGGTTGAACGTGATACACATTTATCAGAATATCTTTTTTTAAGCCTCTGAAAGATGTGGCAGTGCTTTTCACCTTCTGCAACCAGAAACTTTATTACAGAGCTTTGTTCCTCTAACAAAAAGTCCATGATAGAAGAAACGCCTATCATATATCAGAGGGCAAAATACTGTGTATACACAAATATCATTGAAAATAAACTGACCACGTTATTGGCGAATGAATGTAGTTTTCACCAATATATAATGTGTGTATATAGCTGCACGTGGAATGAGAGGAGCATGAAAATTTCGGATATTTTCTGACCGTCCCTCCTATTTAGCTATTGGGTTTGTTCTATGTTTGAATATAGAAGCTTTTAAATTAATAATGAGTTTTTGAACACAGCGTCACTGAAAAGGTATATATTTTGATATAGTATTATAAAATAGCGAAACAACATGAAACCAATTTTACATATCCCATGCACGAAAAGGCGAAGAAATATTTTAATTTTAAATCGCATCTACTGAAAAAAATCGTTCATTGATATAAACGAACAAGATATCTGCCATTAACAAGTTACAATGCAAGCATTAGATGAATGTTGAATGACTATTTTTAAACATTTTTGTTGACTGAATACATCTTGATTACGTCTGCTGTCATCTAAACATATTTCATCAGAATTTTTAGAATTTAATAGATTTTGAGGCTCCGTTGAACCGTATACTGGTTAGTCACAGATCGTAATATGTGTTAGGATTTTTTTTATGAATCCAATCATCATGATATCCATACCTTTCCATATGACTTCATCATGAATATTTACTTATTTTAATGCACGGGTTTCATATACATATTTCGTTAGATTTCTTATAGTTGTCATCATCCATAGCCTATTTTTAGATGAGAACTCGTGTACATGGGATATTTTAAACTTGCCTTTGATGGTAATAGATTATAATTTATATTATATAACACCATTGCGGTTTATTGGACGCCGCGCTGAACGCGGCGTCTAGTAGATATGCATTTGTCCGTACAGCAATGGGGACATTTTAGAAATACTATTTATTTTGTGTTTTAACAAAATCACACCATTTTCATTTTTTTAAATAAAAATAGCTTTTCAACATGTCACAGACCTTTAAGGGATTAATATAAACGTTTAACTGAAATGATAGTGCCATGTGTGAATATCATATTCTTTTTTATCATTATCTAATTTTATCTTCATGATAAATAACGTGCCATTGAGTCAGTCTATAGTCGATCGTTCTAAAACTTTTTTTTAACCGTTGAGAGAGGTAACGACTGAGGCAGTGTCACTCACTTCATTTGCTCCGCCTCTGTTGAAGTTGCAAAATGTAATATGATGCTCCGTATGCTAGCATTTAGTCTTCGTTAACGGGGCGGAAAGGAACCGGGAAAACTTTGATCAATATCTCTTGTCGAATCATTAAATTACAAGTTACAAAGCCTAAACCACGCCCACTTAAGCGGTTCTCCCTCAACCGTAAACTCTGCGCGCCGGTTACACTACGGCCAGTAAGGGGAGATCACTGCAGAATAGTTCGTCCTCAAAAACATTCGAACATTGTGCAAATCGTATTAATATTTAAATAGACATATTCTCGGCACATATTGTCTTGTATTTATTTTAAGTATACCAATCATTTCAATTTTACTTGTTATCCAATTTATTTTGCTTCGACCAGACGTTTCAATCTTTGTCTCAAAAGAAAAACATTTCTGAATTTCAAACATGGCATTACTTTGTGAATTTATGCATTTGGTTCTACTTTTTCACAAAAATATTTAACTTAATTATTAAACAAGGAGCACATACCAAGAACATGAAAAAAAATGATTTGTGCTTCGGATACTCAACTGTAATTGAGAACGATTTTCAATTTTGATTGACTGTTCGCATCATGTGGCGGAGTCTTTGATGTGCAGCATCAACATTTAACTTGTTTTATCCTGATTGATACATTTCGACAGTATCAAGGAGACTAAAAAGTTTCATACAATTTAATTTTACTTTTTAATTTTACGTGGCTTTAACAAAGTAGAGATCATACGCCGACTTTCCAGCTTTACTGATAGAGGACCCCAAGATGCCCCTCCGTGCATTAATTCAGGCACGTGTGGGCATGTAAAGATGCAATTTTAGAGGGTTTTTTTGTTGAATGCCAAAATATATCACTTTTTTAAAAGCAAAATGTACTATATTCATTACAACCTAAATAAGTGTACTTTCATAGTTTTATGACAGATTGTTTTACATAATAATATACTAACATCTCACAAACTAGCATTGTTAAGCTTTAAGCAACGATAAAAATTCAGTATCATCATTTATCAAAGAAATATACAACACGTTTTTGAAACAAACCAAATGCTGCGTTAAATAAAAATATAACTATTAAATAATTTAGGTAATTGATAGATACATCTTATGAAAAATGTATACATTGTTTTATCTTAAATTTAAAAGAAACAAATCCATACATGACATATTTCAATGATTCAAAGGGATGCGTTGTCACCAAAAAGAAAATACGTGAATTAAAGTTAAGTTTCTATCGTAAATTTACATTAAATCGTCACAACTAGATATCAAGTTACGTTCGGCTTAGGACTACAACAAGGTTTGATGTGAATTTTTTCCTGTAAAACAATCCAAGGTATAAATTGCGTTAAATTCCTGGTACATAACAAGGAAAAATTATCAGACGTTTGAAACATTATAATGCGGTTCAAATTCCCAAACAGTTTTTGTCATACTTTGCTTTGTTAAAATCTTTGTAACATAAACATTCTTCCCTAAGAATTCGTTTAAAATACAACTTAAGTTATAAAATGTGCACTTGAAAATAATTACGATTTATAAAGCTTGACATTATTTACTTTGGAAAGAAAATAAGGTAAGTTACGCTATTGAAATGTGATAACGTGTTTATTGATTTTTTAATGTTATTTTTCTGTCAAATTTCCGCAGCAAAAACAACAAATAAAATAAAATAAGATAAGATAAAATAGAATAGAATAAATAAATAACTGTTTTTCAATGTTTCTTTCCTTATACCGACAAGTTGTTAAATAGATATCTTTCTAAATAAACATAATTTATTGTTCGCGCGTCATGCCATACTTTTCCTTGAAACAGTGTGTACAGTTTTAAAAGTTTACAAATATAGTTTTTGTTGATACTAATTTAATACTGTAATAAAAGTTATAAAAGTCATTTCATAGATATTTTGACTTCTTTTTAGAACGTTTTGAGAAATAAAGACTTTTTCGTAATAAACTCCTTTCAGCGTTCGGTGATTTACTTTAAAATAGATTAGATACTGACAGTTGCTGTAAACCCTAATCATATACAAAAAAACGAAATACACAATGTTTCTTATGAAAGAACGGTGGGACCATTTCAACTTTAACTTCATGAATTAAAAATTTCAGTTTTCACGAATTCACGATTTTATCTTCACGAACACATCTTCACGAATGCCCGTTTTGAATATCACGATTTCAGCTTCGAAAATTCACGATTTCGACTTAAGGAGTTAACGATCTGTGAGTTTGTCAAGATGAACCCGATAATTCATAATGTTGAAGTGTCACCACCGGTCTTTCATAGTTTCTGACTAATTTTTCTTTCGTCACTCCTAAGTTCCGCGGTATTATTTTGTCTTCTGGTGCCTTTTCATGATATCAAAAGGTTTATTTATTTTTAGATGATATCAAGTTATGCAATCATGTGCTTGTTCATAATTTATTCCGGTAAGTATATTCTTTATCTTATGTCCCACACCGCAATGGGTTCGAATCCCGACAGGGACTTCGGATGATTTCATGTGAGGAAGCTATTCAGGTAGCCTACGGAACGTCGGTCGTAAAATAATCCACGGAAGGTCACCTGGGGTCTTGCTCCACCAGTAAAGCTGATACGTCGCCATATGACATATACTGTGTCGGCGTGAAAACCTTAAACATGCACAACTTTATCCCCTGTCTTTTCACTACATAAAATATAAATACACATGTATCCAGATATTATGCTACTTATAGGCTCTTTATATTTACTCTTAATACATTTATAAAAAAAAGGCTAAATAAACATTTATTTAATAGAATAGAATTTTAACTCTTAAGTGTACATTAGTGAGAACAATTGTATTTGAATGTCCTGAAATAATATCAGTCCGTACAAAACGAATATTTATCCTAAAAAATATATGTATAAAATGAAAACGACTTGCCCGTCTTACATTATTTGAAATACATCTGATGATTTTGATGATCACTTTTTTTAAATTAGAATTACAACCAAATTAAATAAGTATGCCTTTAATTTTTGGCAAACGAACATTCAATGCCATAACTAACATTTTTTTTCAGAACAGCCTTTTATCATTGACAGTATGACAGTTGATAATTATCATAACTATGATAATTTTGATCTACATATATGCAAAGAGCCTGCTTCTATATCAAATGGCGCTGTTACGGTTAGGAAGGGTATTGCAGTGTATTCATGTAATTCAGGGTACGTGTTGTTTGGACAAAAACAAAGGAAATGTGACAGCAACGGCAAATGGGAAGAAAATGTACCTATTTGTTTTTTAGGTAAAATATATGTGAAATTAATATTAAACTAAATTTGATATCATTAAGTGATAATCATAATATTGTAAATGGTCACTATACAATCATTTTCAAAAGAAATTTCTAAAACGATGAACACTGAAGATTTAATTCATACAAGTTACATAATTATTTTATTTTTGTTTAAAATAACATAATAGCCATCCAAGAGTAAATGTTGAGTGCACGGATAAAGATTGACAAATCTTTGCATTTTGCTATAATTATGTCCTACTCTTTAATCAACTATGCAATGGCCCACATACATTTACATAAATATCGTTCGAAAATTATCGGTAACGATCAATTTATATTGGGCTTCTTTTGTTAATAAGGTAGATCTTATACTTTTCGATCAATCTGTTAAGCTTTGAAAAACAATACACCCTTACAAAAAGACACTTGAAGGGTAAACACCGATAAAAGCATATTTGGTAAACAGGCGCAAGTGGGTTTTAATAACTATAATTTAACTAAATTGAATGTTTATCACATAATATTAATATCAATTTAATATTAATGTATAACCGTAATGCAACAGCAATAAAATACTGTTACAATAAAGGCATTAAATGAATAATTATAAAAATGAAACATAGAATAAAACGATTCAATAATACACAACGATTTGATAATTGTTTTTTGTAATATTGCCTTTTCCGTGTCTGCCATGTCAGTGTAACAAACCTGTGTAAATGTATCGGCTCTGTGCACAAAATCTCACTCGTTGTTTACCCTTCAAGTGTCTTTGTCTTTCAGGCCAATATGTTAATATACTGGCTTGTTATCGCAAGACTGAAAGAAATTGAAAGAAAATATCTTTAGATAGTAAGACCAATATTTAAAAAAAGTTTGTCTTGCGTCAGAACATTTTTATGTTACCCGAAAAATATATCGGGGAATTAATACTTTCTCCCAACAGCTTATATAATTAGGTTTTGTCATTTATTTAGTAATTACATACCTCGGCATCTGTAACCTTTAGTCGATTTAATACTATAATGTTTGTGTATTTTTTATACTTGAATCTATTAAGAGGTTATAAAATTTTACCCACTGCATTTTTTCTTCTTTTCAGAGGAGTCCTCATCAGTGTAAGGCGCTTTTTAAATTTCAATTTAAATAGAGAGTCAAACACAAATGACGCCGATTATCTCATAATTCGGTGATTTTAATCTAATTCGGTCAAGCTAATACTTCGATTTCAGTACAGTATATTAAGTCATTTAGCAATTATTATAATCCTTATCATTTCAAACAAGTACGAGCGTATTTACTATTTTAATTATAGAAGATACAAAATGAAAGTAGGATTTTGAGAAATAATGCCATTACTCGAGAATTACTCCATCAAAGAATATTATTTCATTGCTTATTTCACTTAATCAAAAATATTATTTTCATATTTTCAGAAATTTGGATAAAACATTTAGCGTAGTAATTGGTGGATTTTTAGGATTAGCTGCGTTCGTAGCCATTTTGATTATTGTGCACATCATAAAACAAGCAGGATATTATGTTAGAAGTGTACTTACAAACTGTGTTTAGGGCACAATAAGCTGTTAAAATTTAGGTTTTTTATTAGGAGTTGATATCAGATCAACGTACATGTATAAAGTATGTTTCAAGAACTATTAAAGGAGTATTTAAGGAAATCATGAATAGGAAAGATATGTGACAATATGTGAGAACATTGTCGTTAACCTCTTGATTGTATTATTATCTTTTACGTTTCGTTATATGTGTATATCTTACTTGCAGTGCGACTTGGTAATAATTCAGCTGTAGTTTCATTTTGAAGAAAATAACTTCAAACAAATATTTAATTGTGTATGTAAGTGACCGATCGTGTAAATCATACAGATATTTGGCAGTTTGAAAATGTGTAAAATGTAAAATTTATATTATTGCACAAAACCGACGCACGCAGGTAAAAATTGACTAAAATGATCTGTGGGTTAGGGTTGGGTTGCATGTCAAAATGCATCATCAAAATATAATTGTCATATAAAATCGCACAAGAACGTAGAAAGCATAATAGAATTGATTCCTTAGAGTGAAACGCGGAATAGCTGAATTGGACATATAATCTAATACAAGAATAGCGCCGATGCACCGTTTTCGTTCATCAGCATCTTTGGAATCTCTCATTATTAAATTATTACATTCTTCGCCAAATGCTAAGATGCATCATAATTATAGTTATATTCTCAAAGTTTTATTCATGATATCAAAATTGATTCAGTATTGACACTTACAACTGTTATTATTATTAGTTTATAAAATTTATAACCTGTTTATTTTTACTTCACACAGTTTACCAGTGTTTACTTTGTATCACCCGATCGGATATATGTATGTTTATAACGTACATTTATCCATAAATGTATATAATATTTTATTAAAGAATAAGATTATTTATAACTCCGATTGTGTGAATTAACGCACGGAACAGTTGGTGTAAATCTTTACTTCACTGTAACTCGGATTTTACTTCCTGGTTTTCTGAAAAGAAGACAAATATAAGTGTTTCGCTAGATATTTTGACAATAAGATGGTTTCATTACTGGGTGTGTAAATAAATTGAAAAATAACGAAGACGCAGACTGAACAGTATGACTGTAGACGTCCAGGATTTGTCATCCAATTTGTTTTTTGGTGTATCTAAATTGTGTAGAGTATCAAATTACATCTGAGTTGAAAACAGTTTGTTTTGTTCATTTGAAAGAAATAGACGCACTACAAATAATTTTAAGATGACAACATTTATCTAATAAAGAACGAAAACTTACCGTCGATATATTAATAAAAAGACATTGCTTGGTTAAAAAAGGATGTAAGATTCAATGTAATACAACATACGTTTTTAAAGGCTATTGACGACTTAATATAATAGCTTAAGCTAAAGAATATTCATCTGAAACAATGTGCACCATTTTACTCAATATATCAAATAATTAAAATTGCATTTTCAGTTCTATCAAAGTATCAATAATATTTGCGGTTTAATTTATAAAGTTTTCTTAAAGACCCCAAATGGCCGCCCGTTAGGCTCAATAGGAAAAGAATTTGTAATATCGTGGTGTTT